AGGAGATTACAGATCTAAAACATATGAATTATCAGATAATGTTGGTGTTAGAGGTGCTTGTAGAGACTACTTCCCTACTTGGTTTGAAAGAGAAATGTTCTATAGAACCTCTGATGATCCTTTGACTATGGAATTGAAATTACACAGACAATATTGTGGAATTAGATATCTTTTTGTACCTACACCTGATAATTGCGGAGCTCCTAATGTAAAATGGGAATTTATAATTCCAGTTCCCACATGGCACAAAGGTGCAAATTATGCTTTATGGACAGGCAATATAGAATTAACTTTTTCTCTGCAAAAAATGGGATCTGACAATTCTCAAACAGTTTTTTGGGGATCTAACTATGCATATATTGATTACGACAAAACTGCAGATGGGAAACAAAATCCAAAAAGAGTTTGTGCATTTTACTCACCTACATTTCTCGCAAGTTGGTTTACAGATGGTGAGAAAATTGGTTGTATAGATATTCCATTAAATCCTGCTCCAAATATCTATAATAAAATAATTGTTCCTAAAGAGTCAGTAAAAGTTTCCAATGTAACACCAAATGGTAGTACTTTTATAAAACCTCAGATTAATCTCCAACTTATAGATAGCACTGGACAACCTAAAGGTGGTTATACTACGCTTACTTATAATTATGAAGATTTTTCATCATCATGCTCTAAAATATTGAATAATACCTATTGTCCATTCATACCATCATATGATCCAACAAAAATATGCGCAAGATCAACAGATAATATTTCGGGCAATATTGGCTGCATTGATAGACCCAGACCAACTGATTCAGGAATTAAGTTAAAAGCAAAATATCATTATTTTATTGATAATAACTGTCAAGATGACTCTGGAAATTTATCTATATTTTCCTCATTAAAAATTCAACTTTTACCAAATAATATATCAAATAATAAAGAAATAAAAGAATTTCCTGAGCAAAATTCTGGTATAAGAGATTATTATGCTTGTTATGTACCTAGTCAATACATGGATAAAAATTCAAATAAGATGGTAAAACAAAATATCATACTTACAGGTAATGATACAACAGATGTTTATGGTATAAAATTTAGTGCAGTAATACCAGAATTAACTGATCCAAAATTAGAACTTTCAAAAATTCGCCCTGATAAGTTTAAAAAAACTTATATGTATCCACCAATAATTACTGAACCTTCTAAGACTACTTCAAATACTAGTTGTAACCAATGTTTTGTTCCTGTTAATGAGAACAATTGTATTGATAATAACCCAACCAGTAAAGAAAGAGGACAAAGCATGTGCACTGCATATATTACACCTGCTGG